GCTATCCTTATCGTCTATATTGACGATATTGTACTCACAAGTGATTATTTACCAATATTGGAGTCTCTAAAAAATATTTTTGCTACTTCATTTGAAATGAAGGACATGGGGTGACTCCGGTACTTCTTAGGTATTGAATTGCTCGGTCATCTCTGGCCATTTATCTAGCTCAGTGCAAATATATATCTGATCTATTTAAACCCTCCTTTCTATCAATATAATTATCCTGCCCTATTCTCAAACCTGACAGACATTTTGCATGCTAGAAGTAAAACTTTTCATTTAATTTATTTTGTGGAAGATGCTTATGGCCAAGCTACTTCATCAAATTATTAAAATTGGAAGCTTTAGAACTTGTAGAACAAAAAAATCTAGCAAGGGTTCTATTGGAGATGGACTGGGAGCAAAAAAGATTGTTGAGAGCCTTGTTGAAGGAGATGGGGCCAAATATAGATCACAACATAGATTGATACTAAAATAAATGCAGTGTTGCATGTTGGGAGAAGATATATGTGTGTGAAAATCATTGAGCACCATTACACTCATTTGCATAACAAAAAAGAAGCATAATGATTTAGTGAGACATAATGTTTTAGGGTCTTAATAGTAGGATTTTAACTATTTTTTAAATGATAGTTTCTTTAGAAATTTTCCTTTAGCATCTCTATTGCCTATTGCTTTTTTGCTTCACTCATTATCCCAAGTTCAAGAATTCACTTACAAGATGTTGGAATGCTAACAAATTAGAATATGCTCGTCCTTGTGCAGGTAGACAAAATCAATATTTTACTATAAATATTTGTGTAGAAGACTAAATTATTAAGGAGTCCTTTGAAACTAATTTTAAACTAAAAAACTCAAAATCCTCGTCAAATGAGAATATCAAATCTATATCCGAATTCCTTTGGCATAAAACAATCCTCTTTAATGTTTCTCTCTTTTGTTTGGATGTTGCTATTTAATCTTATTCAAATGGTTGACTGAATACTGAGATTTGGCTTTTATGTTGCCCCCAAATGTTTGTCATGCTTAAGTAAGAAACTAGCAACATTTATTCATCTGAGGTTCGTATCACACAATTTTGGTACAAATAAGCATCATTAGTTTATATCAGCTACCTAATACTGATTCTACTAACTCAATTATTTGTGCATGGTAAATTTTAAGGCTCCATTGGGCAAAGACATATCTGACTATCAAATTCTAGTATTTATTCTTCGGCTTAATTAGCTCAAGAAAAATCGTGCTAACACAACATTTTAAATTTTAATGCCAATAGAATCCTACAAAAGGTGGAAAATCAATCCCATTTGTATGCAAAGGTAAATAAATTTATGAAAATAACTTAAAATGTTTAATTCTTTCTGTCACCGATACTTTCTTATGTCAACTGTCTTTTCCATCTAGATATGAGCTTTGAGTTCAACTAAGACTCCACAAGGAACTCTTAAAATCAAAATTGTTAGTCTAGGGAATATCAAATTAGGAAGCAAAACTATGTAAAGTTAATGGAGCATGTTTATTTGAATGTACCTTGGAAATTTATATTTATTCCTTTATTTTATCTGGAGGGTGGGTTCTTTTATTGTTTTTATTTATTCCTTTATTTTATCTGGGGGGTGGGTTCTTTTATTGAAAAAAAAAAAAAAAAAAACATTTTCCTTCAACAACATATTAGAGAAAAACTAGTACTAACTCTAGTAACCCTCCACTAAACTAAAAAAAAAAAACTCCTATTTCTCCCACTTCCTAACCCATGGCACCACTATCACAAGCATCCCTTGTAGTAATCATGTTTCAAGCCCACAAGTTCAACCTCGGGCCCACATCTCCCGCTTATGTGAGCAGGACATGAGAGCATCCCGGTTGCACGAGCAGAAAATTGGTCCCATGACAGTTGTAGCGAGACTTTCTCGCCGTCTCGCCAAATTATTGCCTCCTGGCATTGTGTGCTCTAATTTTTTATATTATTTGAATTAGAATTTGGGTTATTTTGCTTGGGGCTATTAATAGGCTATTACTTTCTGGTTTTGTAGACTTTTGCATAGTTTATGTTATGTGGGGTTTTTTTTTCTCCCTATTTTCTCTATTATAGTGTTGTATCCTTTGATCTCTCAGGTGATGTGTCATACCCTGATTGGATCAATGTGATAATCTCTTCGGGACGCCCAAAGACCTTCCTCCCTCTTCAATCCTACTGCCGAGTGTTTGACAACACAATCCTACTGTTTTCTTGCAACCAGACAATCACTGCACACGTCAAGATGGTTACAAGAACATATATTTCTTTACCAAGGATTGAAAGCACAACATATTATTATCTTGGAAAGATTCTGAGATAATGGGTGTTCATATAGAGTCTAAAACTATAGCACCACGGACACCTTCTACATGCTTTAATAGAACTGCCAATATAACTAGAATTGGTGGTATGAGAAGACAATAAATTCGATGAGCCAATACTAGAAGACTTAATTCGTGAAAGTACTAGGATAAATGTAATTTCAGCTCTGATATGCCAAAAAATGATTATTTATTTTATCAAAATAGAGTCTGTAACGACGTACGAGTTGCAAAGTTACATTGGATGGACATGCGCATAGACTTTATAGTAGGGTAACCCAAAACACAACTAAGCAAATGGTGATAGACCAATTCTCCAAGAAGATTGCAATAAGATGATGGATGCCTCTCACAATCAGAGCTAATGGATGCAAGAGTTGGAATTTTATCCCCTGAAAGCTGTAGCAGAACTTTCCCACCAATTTACTGCTATCAAGCCAAGTGGACCCCATTTTTTTATTAATATTTTTGCTTGGAAATATTTATAGGTTGTTATTTTCTAGTTTTGGTGACTATTGTTTGAATTATATTATTCGGAGATTTTTTTCTCCTTGTTATTCTTTTGGAGTTTTGTATCATTTGACTTCTCTCACATGGTTTGTTTGTAATCTGATTAGATTGAGGTGATGATTTCTCCAAGATGTCCAAGGACCTTCCTTCTCCAAACCTGCTGCCAAGTGTTTTTGACAGCAGAATCATGTTCTTTTCCTGCAGCTGGACCACTGTCCAGCTGCCAATTGAGCTGGATTTCAGCCGCCATCACGCTTCCCTCCTTTACCTATCCTACTATTGTCCTAACACATTGATCATTTCACACCATCTAGGAACCATAAATAGCTGTCAGTCATGATCCCTCATCCTGCTCTCATACCAAGCCCATGAAGTTATCCCTATTGCATTCCTCCCTAACACTCCACCCTAGCATTTCTTCTCTATTATCAAGATCACGTCCCTTTCATACCCCACATTATCATCATTATTCCACCAAATTTAAAGTAATGATCACTTCATCAACCATTTCCATTCTTAATCATCCAAGTTAAATCTCAGTTTTCATGTTCTCTCTTGCACAATGTCATAGCTTTTCAACTTCCTCTTAATGATTTGAAATCCTTCACCATATTTACCACCATTAAGTTCAATGGTGCCAAATATCTCCCATGGTCGTGAACCCTTCATATTCTCATCAGCTATCACAAAAAGTTCAACGGTTCAAAGTGGCAAGCATTCGATTGCATTGTTTTAACTCCTCGTTGCCTATATTGTCAAGTTTCAAAACCCTACCAGAAAATTGACTTACAAGAAAGTAGCATCTCTCATACCCGTTATATCTACTCTAAAACCTACTCTTCTCAGCAGAATTACATACAAACTGAGGCATATTATGATACATTAGGAAGAAGAAAAGGCATGTTACTTCGGTGCCAACCCTTCAATATTTATTTTACTTTATGGAAAAAACAGAACTAAATCCACAGCTTGCATTCTTGCCGTGAGGGTATTTAATATCAAAAAATGGAAGACTCTTCAATATCTAACTTCATGACCACTCTCTATAAAATTATTCATGTCACTAAGCTCTCCTCAACATCTGACTCCTGGGCAGTTAGCTATGGTTGCTAGCTTTAGTGGCGGTGACAAAAAATTGTGCAAATAGACTTCAAATTGATGGTAAGCATAGTCATAATGTCCTCTTTCCTGGCCTCATTACAATCAAACCAATAATCCTCATGAAGATTGTTGGGAAAAGTTTGATTATTCCTTCATAATCAATCCAACCCTATGAATACCTTATAGTACTTCCTCCTTAGAAGCCATTGCTATTTTTTGGGAATGTTTATTGATTGCATCTATAGTCTAAGACATCTTTCTTAGCATCTCATTTCGTCCCTTCCTCTAAAGCTGCTGTAATCATATTCATCGATATGCAATGGGATTTAAATTCATCTATTTCAATCGATATGATGGGTAATAACAAACTATTTTCATCTCTCCAGGTATCTTCTCTACCCCTTGAAATTCTTCTTGATGGTTCTCCCAGTCCCATTACAGGAAAAGGCATCATCTATTCTTTTCAAATCTCTCTCTCAAATATTTCATATATATCACAGATTCTTTTTTAACAACTCCTCTATTCATTATCTTACTAAAGCTCCTCTTAGTTTCATAACTTTTTTACACCTCACAATGTATTTTCAAAATCTCAACTCAAGGAAGATTACTGATATAGTGGTTGGTGCTTGGTAAATCCACAACTAGACATCCAATGTTCCTTTTGCCATCCCTTCCAGTATTTCTTCATATTAATGATATCGTCAATAGATTCAGTTGCTTCTTCCCATATGACAAGGTAACCGCAAAGCATTTGTCAGAAAAATAAGACTGCCTAAACAGGTTCAATTTGAATATCACCATGACAAATGCCTAAAGATTAATCATTAAATATGACTGTGTTTGACATTCGATACTTATTTGGTAAAATAACATTATTAGCAATCTCTTTATATGATACATCTATTACTACTCAACAGCATTCCCATATTAGCACTTAATTTGCATACTTTCCAACAATAAGCTTCAAGTAACATTTACATGATAGATTCGAACTTCTGCAAATACACAACAGGCCAAACTGCAAGTAATCCATAAAATCTCACCCCATATTCAGAAATAGGAATCCCATGTTGAGCACGATGCACGTGAGCCTGCCTCCTTGTCAGCCACTGAAATAAGGTAAGAAAACAAGAAATGAACTTATGAACTCGTCATTGTCATGCCAATAAAATCCAAAAAATTTTGCACAATGGCAATATAATATTGAGCACTCCAAACAAAGGAAACAATTCAATAGTTTAAGGATGCAAACATTGAGGATACTATTGTTATGTTTCAAAATTAATTCTAAAATACGAAAAGATTTAAGGTGAAATAAAAAATTGCAAATAATATATAAAGAGCGCACATAGAGGCGTGAAGTTCCATTGGAAAGAGAAAAATAAATTCTGTGGAAACCCTCTCCTAAGCAAAAGATAAACAGAAACTTCAAATAAAAAACTGGATTATTGGTAGTATTAACCTCAACTCATAAGCTAATTTTAAGAAAATATTCCACATTAACCTCAACTCAAAAGCTGATTTTAATAAAATACTCCACAAATCTAATCCACATTATGGGATTCTTAATATGAATTCACGACAGAAAATACAAGAAATATCCAAGAATAAGTGGTATCAAAACATAGAAGACAAGTTACCATAACCTGTTTTTGGGACTACATATTTTTTCCTTGTGTAGAATTAATAAATGAACCAGGCAGAAAAGACGAGAAAAATGGTGAAAAAAGAAACAAAAATATAACAGGACCAAATTAGACAAATACATGTAACAAAAATACCTTTCGGTTCCTTCACTCCTCCCCTCTCTCTCATGATCTCCCTACTTAGTTTCTATTCAATTTATTTCCTTTCAACTACTTAAGCGATCAAAAATGGTGCCCAAATAGTATCTGATATAGTTCTGAATAAAATAGCCTGGCCTAGTAACACATCAAAGCAATAAAAACGGATCCTAATCTTCATAGTAAATGTCCAGAAGAGAGATGCAAAATAATCAAAACTTTATTGGAGATACTATAATCATCCTTAAATTTATAAAGCTAACTTGTGATGAAAAATATGGTCATTAATTATCCATTTCAAAAGGAAGCATCGTGGTAAAACCATACAAGATCAAAGTTAATAATACTTACAGCATTCTCAAAGGACAAAGAAATAAGCTTTACCAAATAATCCCACCTAAGCAATAAAATTAAATCCCAAAATAACACTTGACCATTTATGTATGGCTAATTTAGTCCCAAAACAACACAGTTCTCTAATTTAGCCCCCAACTATACAAAATTGACCCAAAAATATATCATGTTAAAATTATGATACAAAATTAATCTTATTTAGGCCCTCAACCGCTCAAATTGACCCATATTTAGTATTTGAGGGATCATTTTGGATAGATTTTATATAGCCAGAGGACTAAATTAGAAAAATATAATACTCTGAAATCAGATTAGCCACATTCAAATAATTGAGGTACTACTTCATATTTTGATAATCACAAAATTGAAAAAGCGCACCAATTGCTAAAATTATATTCTACTCCTGATTGTAATATGTTGTATCAAAATAGAGATATTAATGTCAAATATTGGATCGTGTATGATATAATTAATGCTTAACATAAAAATAAATTATAATATTAGCATGAAAAACCACATTGCTATTGTAAATTCACGAGATATTTCTAGAAAAATAAAATAAAATGAGTTATGTATAAACTCACATGTAGTACTGCAAACGAATTGAGCCAAGTCAAGCAAGTGTTGTGTTTAAGCATGAGCTTTCTTATAAAATTCGAGTTTGAGCCGAGCTCGAGCTCAAATCGAGTTTTTGGGACTATGTTGAAGCTTGAGCTTATATATAAAATTTAATGTCACGTTTGTTTCATATGAGAATAATCAAGTCATTATCAAATAGATTAACGAATAGCATCATCGTACTTAATTTCTATCCAAATGACCTTTATCAGTTAAATCAAAATTAGTGTTATCATACTATTTATTTTCTAATTAAATGGGACTTATCAAACAAACCACTAAGTAGTGTGTTGAACTATTTATTTTTAATCAAATGAGTTTCATAGCTTATGAGCTTTTGTTGAACTTAAAAAAATACAAGAGCTTTTAAATGAACAAGCTACCAAATGAATAACTAAAATAAGTATATAAATATCCCAATAAATAGGCAACAAGACAAACAAGTCTTTATCTTATTTTATGAACAATGTATTAAAATTTTAATTTGATTAAATATAAATGAATTTTAAATTGAGCTTTAATTTAGTTTATTCACAAATTTTAAATTAGGCTTTGACCAATCTTACTCATAAACATTAAATTGAGCTTATTCACAAACTTATTCATGAACTTTAAATGAAACAATTCATCAAGCATCTTAACGAGCTTGTTCATAAGCTTTAAAATATATTTTTCACGGATATAAATAAAAAATGAATAAGGAGCTCTTCAAGCTTATTCATTTAACAATCAAGCATTTATAGTCAAACTTATTCACTTAGTTAATCAAACGAACATGAATGATCTCTTATCAAACCCAGCTACGAAAAAATTCTCACTAAATGCTTGGCATAGTTATGGCTCATTTTATTTTCATTAAAGAAATTATGCAATTAAATGAAAATAAAGTTTTTCTACATAAATATTGTCTACAAAAAGTTTTAAATCCTCTTGCTTAAAATAAACGCCCCTATTACCATACAAAATTAACATGCTATTAAGATTAGAAGAATGACCATATTTAAAATATTTTAAACCAAGGAAGTATTGTTCAAAAATGAAATAACCCAAAGCTACATTGTTTACTGGCATTTATTATTGTGCCTTCTTTACAGTTAATGAATAACTCAGAAAGATGTTTAAAAGTTGTTACTGTTATAAGGCTCATTTCATGTTATTACAACAAAAATACTTAATTCCAAAATTTACTATGTGGCATATAGGAGTACAAGAAAGAAGAAGCTTATCCATAGCAAATAATTATTTGTATTGATTTAGTTTTAACTATTCTTACTCACATTAAGATTTTAAGAAACTAAGGCACAATAATATAATCAACATTCTTTATAAACAAGAGAACTTATTTGAATGATGAGGATATATGAATCAAATACATAAAACAACTTACATTTAGTAAAATACAATCAGAACTCGAATTCGTTTCAAGTATAAATACAAGGAAATAAATGCACAAGCATGCAATGGATTTCATGATTCCATCATATCTAAGTTCGTTTAAAATTCGATATTAAATTGAAAAGCAAGCTTGAACAAGAATATACTCAGCCCAATTAAAATTAGCAACAACATCATCTTTGACCGAGCTCAATTAACTCTTAAATGAGAAACAAGGTTCTGGGTCCTCCAGCTAGGCCCTCTGCTCCATATTAGTGTTGTCGCTTTCCATCATAAAGCCCTTAGTCTCCCGCATCCACGGTTGAAACATCTCTTCCAAAGAGATATCGGTTGGAGTCCACTCGGCCACAATCCCAATGTAGGAATTGTTTCCTCATCGCATGAAGAAGCTTACCTGTTTCGTCATGGAGGATAGCACTAGTACCCGCACAATAGTTAGGAAGTGTTGCCCCATCCACATTCACCTTGAGCCAACCCAGAGAAGGGGGGTAGGTACCAGAAGGAAGATAAGGACAGCCGCTGAGATTGGCTAGTACCTTAGTGCCCCGAGAAGGGGAAAGAGGGAAGAGTGAGGCTTGGTGAGATTCTCCAAAACGTAGCAGCCACAACCATAGAGTAGGAAAGGATCCTTTGTTTCTTCGCATTTCTTGCCCTCCAACACGGTGAACCACATGACAAAAAATCCAGTAGATCGAAATGAAAATTTTATCGATAGTGCTAAGTTGTTGTATCATGTCATCAAAGCATTCAAAGCAGGGAATGTCAAGCCCCCATTTCCTAAGAATACATATTGTTTCATTGAGAGCTCTGCATAACACAGTTACATGACTTCTATCTTTTTCTTTCGGTAAACCCCAAGGGCACCTACCGTCATTCGCAAGCCTCCGGCCAGCGAGCTAGCTATAAGTTGGAATAGCATCATGCGGGATCCTTCAAAAAAAATTGCTCATGTGGGTGGAGTGAGCTTGTGAATCCATAAAAATTCCCCCTCCTGTTCAGCAAAAGATGCGGCATAGGTAAGGGATGTGATGGTTTTCCCCGAGAGAACCTGGGTAAGCTCTGATGTATCCATACTCTCGATTCCCCCCACCTAGATTTTGCTCCCACAATAGTTGAAGCAAGTTTGAAGCCTCGCCATGCTCCACCCATCGGCACGAAACAAATCAACCACCTGGAGATTTTCTGTAGGATCCACATTAACAAATGTGGGCCACTTATTCAACTCCTTAGCAAAGATCCAAGCCTAGCTGAGAACCAAAACCTTGTTGTCGTCTCCAATTTTCCACCTGATAATCCTTTGCAAGCTTGTCGCACCCTCACACATAACCTACCACGGTATAGAGGTTCGCATCTCGTGTTCATCATTCCACAGATTGCTTCCATAAATTGACTAAAGACAGCTATTAAGAAGGTTGTATGGTTCAATTGCAAAGGCCCAAGCCAGTGGGTTTAGAGAGTTTTCTTATGGCATTTCCTAAGAAAATTTAAGAGGAACTTGGAGCCAATCTTGTGGTCGACTTGAGGGATAAGGAGAGAGTTTGTTGGAAGCTTTTTTTTTTAGTTTTCTCCTTTCCTCTTCTGTGTTTTACTATTGTAAATATATTTAAGCTTTTTGCTCTTTGTGTTTGCTTTAGACATGAGCTAAAACACCTCTTCTAGGGGTTGGATTTAGCATGCAAAGTTTTTCTTCTCGATATTAATGGGATAGTGACAGTGTTGTGTTTTAGTTTTCTACTCTATTGTAATGCATGCTTCGCTCGATTTGATAATGAATTATTAATTGTGTGGTAACCTGTTAGTCTGAAACCAAGAGGTAGAAAATAAACTCGTAGTAAGTATAAACACTATGGTGGATGTACCGTAAGTTAGAGAGAACTGTGACAACCTCGTGTAGTTCTTTTAAAGATCCAAAAGATAGGTAGGTCGTGCGAGAAAATAAAAAAACCTAGGCTTATGTG